ATCTAAGCGCGGTGATAGAGTTACGATAATCTCGGTTGGATTCATTGATGCTCGAGTCCAGCCAAACGAGAATGAAGTTCTGAATAGTACGAGGTCGCAAGTGCCTTGACGAATGTTCATCGGTCACGGGTATTTTCGTAATAGTTGATGGTATTTTGTTTGTAATGCCACTGTGAAAAGACTTGGACATCTTCTTGGCTTTGAGATTGGTCGAACTGGCAACTGCTATCTCACTTGTCAATGTTGTTTGTTCGGCTAACGGTCGACCTGAATGATTAAAGTAGAAGCGACATATTTTCAAAGGCTAATTGTGTCGTGTTTTAAATCACACTTTTGTGTATCTGAAAAATTTATAATATAGCACACATTTATCAAAAGTTTGTAATATAGAGACACATCGATGATATTTATAATCGATGCAACTTTTCTGCGTTGAAAATGGATTTGTTCAAAAAATCTCTATCGACGGGCAATTTGTGTGACTGTGAGCAAGGTAAAACGTCACGTCATTACTTCTTGGAGTGTGCGTCGCTCTCGGCGCCATGCGCTCTTAAATGTCATCTCAGCAAAAGAACCAGACCTTAGCTTAAGTGTTGCTTTAGTTTTACTAAATGTACGTCTTTCGAAAGAAGCGTATATGCTTCTGTGGATCGTGAGCTATTAATTTTATCAGTATAACAAAAAGATTTGAAGAAGGCTAGTATGTCTGTTTATATCTAATCTTTCGGTTTTGTTTCGTTTGCGTCTATTTGTTTTTAGCCTAGAGCTCTCTCTATTCAAAGTGTGCGTATTTCTTGTGCGTGTGCGTTCTCTATCTCTCGCAAGGCTCTTGTTCTTTTTATTCTTCTATTCAATCTAAATATAGTTATCTAACATTTTGTTTCGCTCAGCAATTTTTCACTTATGTACGTGATCTTTGTTTTTTCTTTGTGTTCTTATCACTAATAATGGGGAGCTGTTCTCTGTTTTGTTGGACACAAACAAATATTTATCTTTTTCTTAATAAATAGCTTACATCAACAAGGTGTCTATTGACGCAGCCCATTTGATACAGAACTTCGAACTTCTTTTTACTCTAATTTCCAAGAGTGTGGCTTTATCAAATATAAAAATAAAATAGCACAAAAAGTATAACTTTTATTCACACTTCGAAAAAGCTTATGCAAACCGCATCTATTCCTTTATTCTCGTTAGCGTGGAAAGAATAATTCTTATGTTTAGTATAAACGCGAACCCACTGGAAAAAAAGTAATTAAAATTCCTGCAAGATCTCGCATGACTTTGTGCAGTTCTTCGTAGTTGTGTATTATGAAGAAATGCATTTAGAAAAATTTAAGGATAATGGCGTAAGTTTTATGCTAAGTGCGTAGATGACACGTTTGTGTTGTCAGAATCAAAATGGCAAACACATGTCAATGGATTGCATGAAAGTATACAGTTTTGCGAAAGAAAATGCAGATCAGGCTCTCCGTTTTCAGGTATGCTTATTGCCTATATGCCCTGCACCGGTTTTATCACTATGAGCCTTGCTGCCACATTTATGTTTTCTGGACACCAACGTTTTTTGTATGATTCTAGACTTTTAGTTGATAAAGATGTCCCAAGGGGTATGTTAGGGCGCATCTGTTATTTTGAAATATTTTTTGATCACATAGTACTTGGGGTTAAAAGTATATGAAGTTATTTGAGGGTGATGTTATTCTAATTTACATCTTATCTCATAACACGAAGATATTATATTATTGACAATTATTGTTCCACTGATTATTATTGGTACATAGATCGGGGGGGCCGGCCGGCGGGGGGGGGGGGGGGGGGGGGGGGGGGGGGGGGGGGGGGGGGGGGGGGGGTGGGGGGGGGGGGGGGGGG